GTCAGCTTCGTAGCCTTGTTAATCCGCTTCGTTGTGTGTCACTTGGCTTCGGTGTTGTGGACTGACGCTCGTGTTTAGATACGTCACCCGATGGTTCGTCGGTTTGTGCCGAGCTGTGCTAAGTGACCTATAAGCAATTTTATATGCCTACAGATACCCCCTCCAAAGTATTTCAGTCTCGTTCTTTTATAGAAGAGTCTGGAATACTTTGGATATGCTTGTCCCAACCTTCAGTCGGTGTAATGGGATCTTGGAATGACTTCCGTTCTTGATTCCTTCAATTCTCCAGGCTATTCGGTGCTTTGTCGAATGTCTGAAAGAGTTTCGGTGCTGCATTTATTGTCTGACCGTTGTCGGAATTTTGAACTTTGAAGTCGGTTCCTGATTTAGCTGACCATCGATTGTTGGCGTCGAGTCTTTATCTGCAACGCGTTGTCCGGCGTCTTATTGTTTGAGTTATCCTTAAGAATATTTATAGAAAACATTCTCCAGGAACTTCTCAAAAAATTAGGGAACAGTTTATACTCATATACCTTATTGGAGTATTTAAGAAGCAATTTAACCTCATGCACCTGTTGGAGGATTGAGAAGCAGTTTATACTCATATACTCTTCGGAGTGATAAGAAGCAGTTTATACTCGTATACTTTTCGGAGTAAGAAGCAGTTTATACTCGTATACTTTTCGGAGTAAGAAGCAGTTTATACAAAATATTCTCCAGGAACTTCTCAACCAACAATAGGGAATAGTTTATACTCGTATACCTTATTGGAGTAATAAGAAGCAGTTTATACTCGTATACTTTTCGGAGTATAAGAAGCAGTTTATACTCGTATACTTTTCGGAGTATTGATTCTTTCATTGCAACGCATTGATAGGCGTTGACCTAGGGTTACGCGTTGTCCGGTGTTGACCCTGGGGTTTTGACCGTCGTACGTTGCTCAGGTCACGAGACCAACTAAAGAAGCTGATGCGTCAGTGACTCTCGTACTTATAGGATTTTTG